TTTAATGAGTGATTTTGTAGGAGTGTGCTTAATTGTGCTTAGCAGCCATGGTGGCACAGTGGTTAGAATGCAATATTGCCGGGTAATTCTGCTGACTGTCATGAGTTTGATTCTGACTGGCTCAAGGTTTACTGAGCCTTCCATCCATCCAAGGTCAGTACAATTAGGACTCAGATTGTTGGGGGCAATATGCTGACTCTGTAAACTTCTCAGAGGGCACTGTAAAGCACTATGCAGTGATATATAACTAACTGCTATTGCTATAGCTATTAATTGCACAAAAATGGAGAAAACTATGTAATTTTTGAAGGGAAGTCAATTTTTAGAGTTCGTAAAGAAGGAAATGATGTCTTCAGCCTTTGCATATATTCCTGTAATTTAGTAAAAAAAAATTGAACATGAAAAGAAGTTAGAAATTTCAGCATGGCAGTAATCTCACACATACTTCCAAATCAATCATAAAATATTTATAGGACAGAAAGAAAAAGGTTTTGAAATGGCTTAATAATTTCCAAACTTTAAAATTATTGATAATTTATCTTCTCAAATGTATATACAAGGTGATTTAAAAATATTTCCAGGCCAGAAAAGTTCTACAACAAATGGTGGGAGGAGAATTCAAAAGCAAAAATAGAAGAATGGATAACCATTTGTCTGAAGTGGTGTAGGGTTTCCTGCCTAAGCAGGGAGTTGGACTAGAAGACCTCCAAGGTTCCTTCCAACTCTGTTATTCTAAGTTCTAAAGTCTAACTGTGGCTAGCATTTGAAAGCTATTACTGCAAAGGAAAGTGTTACAGAATATTGATTGAAACTTTTGCATCTGTCTTGTTCACTACTTTCTTATTCTGTTTTTGTAAGCAACTGCCAACAAATATTACATATGAATTCAATTTTTATATGCAAAATTTGAATGCATATTTAATATTTATTGGCAGTTGCTTTAAATTTGTACCAAGTAGAATTTGTATCAGTTTCTATTTACCTAGGGATTCTCTGAAGTATACAATATGATAGAGAGTGCCTAAAAGTTTGCATACAATTGTTTTTTGCATTCATTACCAATCTGGTATAAAAGCAATCCTACTCACTATTTTTTTTGGAAATTAGGTATTTCCAATTTATAAATTTGCATACCCAATACTCTGTCTTTTCCAGGAAAGAATTTAGATTTTAGAAATAGTGCAATTGAGCATAGTACTAGAATATTATGTCATTTCTTAACTATGCTCAAAAAATTTCATTTCTAACTTTCTTTTTTTTATTAAATTTTTATTGGTTTTTAAGACGAACATAGACAAACAACACATAAAAACATCAAGCCATCTTCCATATATATACATACAGTGTGCCGGTTGGTTTACAAATTGTTTTGTGCTTCCATTTCGTAGTCTTCAATTACAATTACACTGTATATATTCTCATATTTTCAATCAAGTATTAAATACATTAATATCATTGTTAATCAATCATTTGACTATACTTTTATTCATTCATGTTTTACACAATAATCATATTTTACTTAAATTGTTTTGTGACAGTTCATATTATCATCTCAAATCTATCCTACAATCATTTTGTAGATGTAATAAGAAAAGAATACATCTTTATATATTTATTATTTTCTAAGAATCTACATATTTCATTACCATGCTTTATTTTCTAACCATTGATAGAATAGATCCCAGATTTTATAAAATTGTTTATCATCTTGTTCTCTGATTTCAAATGTCAATCTACTCATTTCAGCACATTCCAATATTTTCTTAATGATTTCCTCCTCTGATGGTATTTTCTCATTTTTCCAATTTCTAGCAAATACAATCCTAGCCGCTGTTAATACATTTACAATAAGGTATTTCAATTCTTTACTGTATATCTCAGGTAAAATACCCAATAAAAGTATCTCTGGTTTCAAATCTATATGCTTTTTTGTCATTTTTTCCAACCACGTGTGGATTTTAGTCCAATATTTTTTAGCATCCGCACAAGTCCACCACATGTGGTAATATGAGCCAGGTGTCTGATGACATTTCCAACATTTTTCTGATTTGTTCTTGAACATTCTTGCTATTCTTGTTGGGGGAAAATGCCACCTGTAAAACATCTTATACAAATTTTCTTTATATGCTGTTGACATTGTCATTTTATAATTTTGAGACCACAATTTTTGCCATTTCTCTAGATCAATCCCATATCCAAAATTCTTCCCCCAAGCAATCATTGTTTCTTTAACTTGTTCTTCTTCTAGTTTAATTTCTAATAAATATCCATACAATTTTTTAATCACCTTTTCATCAGTACCTGTCAAAATCTTATCTAAATCAGTCAGTTTATCATAGAAACCTTCTGTTTTAGAATCTTTATCATACCTTGAATGTATTTGCGCATATGAAAACCAATTCATCTTTATACCTTGTTCCTCTAATTTTTGTATAGATTTAAGTTCATCCTTTTCATTCAATATTTCACCATATCTAACTGTTTGTTCCTTTTGATATATTATAGGATAAAAAATGCTTCAATAGTTGATAGCCAGACTGGAATTTTCAAATAGCATTGTCTTTTAGTCTTCTCCCAGTTTAACCACAGAGACTCCCGTATATAATGTCTTCTAAAATACCCCATTTCTAACTTTCTAATGCAACAGATCCTATAGAAAATTAAATTGCCTACTTTAATATTAGCTGATTTTATTTATAGAGTCTTCTGTTACATACATTTGCTCACTCATGAAGACACATTCTATTCACAGTTGTGGTGTTTTGTGGGATTCAGTCTTAAGGCTGTACTCAAATTCGTTTCACACAATGTATTTTTTCCTAGAATGAATTGCATAGTGAATTACCAATATTTAGAAATGTGGAAGAAATGACAAATACCCCTGCTTTAGATACAGCAGGTCATAAATTCCCACACCAAGCACTGAAACTGTTCCTGTAGTTCAGCTCCGTTGTGACAGAAGGAAGTCTGTATACTAGATTAACACAGCAATATGCTAATTATATAAGATCTTATTGATTAATATTTTAAAACGGAGATGGGATAATAAGCTTTGATTTCAGAAATCTGTCTGGATCAAGAGGAGTCAAATTGGAGGAAGGTATATTTTGGAATTTTATTAATTTCACTTTCTTTTCTCTCCATAACTGAAACACTGCTTTTAATAAGTTATTATTCACTTCTTAGCTACAGGTAGTCCTCAACTTACAACAGTTCATTTCGTGACCATTCAAAGTTACAACGGTACTGAAAAAAAGTGATTTATGAACATTGTTCCCGCTTAAGACCATCTCCGTGGTCATGTGATCAAAATTCAGATGCTTGGCAACAGACTCACGTTTATCTTCGAAGGTTGCATTGTCCTGGGGTGATGTGATTCCTTTTTGTGACCTTCTGACAAGCAAAGTCAATGGGGAAGCCAGATTTACTTAACTACTGTGTAACTAACTTAACAACTGCAGTGATTCACTTAACATCTATGGCAAGAAAGGTCGTAAAATGGGGCAAAATTCACTTAACTGTCTCGCTTAGCAACATAAACTTTGGACTCAGTTGTGGTAATAAGTCAAGGACTATCTGTATATAGTTTTAAATAGAGTAATAGGTATTTCAAAAGAACAGCTAATGTCTACAAGTGATGGAGCTAAATCCAAGCTGTTAGAACAAGGTGCCACTGATGCTGAAAGAGATTTGCATTAAATCTGCTTATATTGAATGAATGCTTCAAAGCACAGCCAAAAAAGTTAAAATGCATTCCATTATTCTTTGCATGGATCAACAGGTCAATAATCTCTTCCCCCATCCTAGTGCACTGCAGTTGCCTCTGTGTTTTTCCGCTGAAAACAGTTTAATCTTCTCATAGGCTTAAAAGTTAATCTCTCTCAAACAATGCACTCTCTTTCATTCCCACATTCGTGTTTATTTAACAAATAGCACTGCATTTCTAAAAGAGAAATCTTCTGTAAAAGCTTAAATTCAACAAGTTAAAACATGTAAAGTATAATGGTTCACTTTTGAAGCTTGTAAAGAAAATAACCAGTACATCATTGCATCGTCTTTGAGTCTATCTGTTGTAACCCCTTGGCTGCCAGCAGAGCTAGCAGCAGAGTCAGATGAGGAGGAGGTTGAGGGAGAGCCTGGGCCAACTTCGGAGTCTTTGGAAGGCTCTGATAAGGAAACAGCATCAGAGACAGAGACAGAGACAGAGGCTTTCTGTCCTCTCCCAGTTTATTTTATTATAAAATAAATGCTTCCAGGTGGAATAATACCTAACTTCTACTAATCAACAATGGCCCTCCACTCTGCCTTTACTGCATTTTTCAATAAAATGATACAAAGAGCAGTGGGAAAAATGGGAAGTTACTATACAATAGGAAGATCCAACTATCTGCACATTTCATAAAATGTTGCATTTAATGCCTTATCTGGAAATTGGACTTGGACATGGACCTGATTCTAATCCTGTTCAGCCATAATGTGTACTGATTGGAACCCAAGTAGATTTGGCAGCATGGCTTAGTATAACCCAGGACTACGTCAAATCTCAATGCAGCTTTAAGCATTTTCAGACTGAAGAAAAAATGCCAGCGCTCCTAACAAAAATAAATACATTTGTTTTGAATAAAGTTGTGGAAATATATAACATATATGCCGGGTATATTATCTTATGGCGGCCTCCACATCATTCCTGGGAATAGTTGTTATATTTATGAATGAATTTGTGACTACAAACCAAAATCATACCCGGCTGGTAACATTGCAGAGCAATACATTAGAAATTCTGAGAATTAAAAAACAAACAAACATTAATATAGTAAGTCTTCCTACAGACTCTCAAGGCAACCACCAGGCTGTGACTTTTAGACGTAACATTACAATTTCACTTTCAAAGCACAAGCTTTAGAGCAGGGGTATCAAGCTCACATCGTCACAGCACGTAACGTATCGGGACTTTCCCCCCCTTTGCTAAACTGGATGTGGGCATGGCCAGCTCGTAAAGCATCCGACCCAAAGGCCAGGAGCTAGACAGCCCTGCTTTAGAGAGAGTATTTTATTTTTTATTACTTGCCCCAGTTTTTACACCCTCCTTAGCTCTGGCCATTGTGGGTGGGGAATTTGGGGAACTGAAGTCCATATAACTACAAAGTGTACCTAGACTGAAAAAGACTGAGCTGCTCTAAGGAGAAGCAACCAGTGATCTGGGTGGGTGAGCCAGTAGACTCAGCTCTTCCCCAAGTGAATTATCTGAAGTTTCTTTTCCCTTCGATTGCTAAAATGCTTCTATTTTTTCCATAAGGTACAGGTGAAACTCAAAAAATTAGAATATCGTGCAAAAGTTCATTTATTTCAGTAATGCAACTTAAAAGGTGAAACTAATATATGAGATAGACTCATTACATGCAAAGCAAGATAGTTCAAGCCGTGATGTGTCATAATTGAGATGATTATGGCTTACAGCTCATGAAAACCCCAAATCCACAATCTCAGAAAATTAGACTATTGTGAAAAGGTTCAATATTCTAGGCTCAAAGTGTCCCACTCTAATCAGCTAATTAAGCCCTAACACCTGCAAAGGGTTCCTGAGCCTTTAAATGGTTTCTCAGTCTGGCTCAGTAGGAATCATAATAATGGGAAAGACTGCTGACCTGACAGTTGTGCAGAAAACCATCATTGACACCCTCCATAAGGAGGGAAAGCCTCAAAAGGTAATTGCAAAAGACATTGGATGTTCCCGAAGTGCTGTATCAAAGCACATTAATAGAAAGTTATGTGGAAGGGAAAAGTGTGGAAGAAAAAGGTGCACAAGCAGCAGGGATGACCGCAGCCTGGAGAGGATTGTCAGGGAACGGCCATTCAAAAGTGTTGGGGACTTTCACAAGGAGTGGACTGAGGCTGGAGTCAGTGCATCAAGAGCCACCACACACAGACAGATCCTGGACATGGGCTTCAAATGTCGTATTCCTCTTGTCAAGCTGCTCCTGAACAACAAACAACATCGGAAGCATCTTACCTGGGCTAAAGAAAAACAGACCTGGTCTGTTGCTCAGTGGTCTAAAGTCCTCTTTTCTGATGAGAGCAACTTTTGCATCTCATTTGGAAACCAAGGACGCAGAGCCTGGAGGAAGAATGGAGAGGCACACACTGCAAGATGCTTGAAGTCCAGTGTGAAGTTTCCACAGTCTCTGTTGATTTGGGGAGCCATGTCATCTGCTGGTGTTGGTCCACTGTGCTTCATTAAGTCCAGGGTCAATGCAGCCGTCTACCAGGAGATTTTGGAGCACTTCATGTTTCCTTCCGCAGATGAGCTTTATGGGAATGCTGACTTCATTTTCCAGCAGGACTTGGCACCTGCCCACACTGCCAAAAGCACCAAAACCTGGTTCAATGACCTTGGGGTTACTGTGCTTGATTGGCCAGCAAACTTGCCTGACCTGAACCCCATAGAGAATCTATGGGGCATTGCCAAGCGAAAGATGAGAGACATGAGACCAAACAATGCAGAAGAGCTGAAGGCTGCTATTGAAGCATCCTGGTCTTTCATAACACCTCAGCAGTGCCACAGGCTGATAGCTTCCATGCCACGCCGCATTGAGGCAGTAATTGCTGCAAAAGGGGCCCAAACCAAGTACTGAGTACATATGCATGCCTATACTTTTCAGAGGTCCGATATTGTCCTATGTACAATCCTTGTTTTATTGATTGCATGTAATATTTTAATTTTCTGAGATAGTGGATTTGGGGTTTTCATGAGGTGTAAGCCATCATCGTCACAATTATGACAAATCACGGCTTGAGCTATCTTGCTTTGCATGTAATGAGTCTATCTCATATATTAGTTTCACCTTTTAAGTTGCATTACTGAAATAAATGAACTTTTGTATGATATTCTAATTTTTCGAGTTTCACCTGTATATGATCAAGGCCAGAACATGTGAATAAGTTGCCAAGATTTACCTTAGCTACATTGGATAAGAGTCTAAGCTGATGCAGATTAATGGAACCAATATCATGTGTCCATCACACCATGTTGCATTCATAGCATGGTTCTTTGTTTAAAGAGTACAGGTAGTCCTTGACTTACAGCAGTTCATTTAGTGACCGTTCAATGTTATAATGACACAGAAAAATGTGACTTGTGATCATTTTTCACACTTATGACTGTTGTAGCATCCCCATGGTCACGTGATCAAAATTCAGAAGCTTGGCAACCTATTCATATATATGACATGGTTGCAGTGTTGTGGGGTCATGTGATTCCCTTTTGTGACCTTCTGACAAGCAAAGTTAATGGGGAAACCAGATTCACTTAACAACCTTGTGATTAACTTAACACTTCCAGCGATTCATTTAACAACTATCATAAGAAAGGTTGTAAAATGGGGTAAAACTCACTTAACACATGTCTTGCTTAGCAATAGAAATTTTGGGCTCATTGTGGTCATAAGTTGAGGACTATCTGTAATTACTTCCAGTATACAAGAGTATATGCTGCTCCTTAGTGACATCTTCTGGCTGATTACCAGCAAAACAAATGGTTTGAATCACAGTTTTCCACTTTTTAAAAAAAATGTGTGCTGTGTATATAAATATATACAGAAATTCATAGACCACACATGCACATACACACATAGATCTTCATAAAGATCATAGTGCTAGTCTAAAGTCAGATACATTCATATTTAATAATAAAGTCTTCAATAATGATGATACTTGCCTGAAGTCCAAATATATATTATAAATTTATGAGCCAGTACTGTACAGTCAATTGTCACTCCGATAGTTTAAGTTTGTTAATGGAAATTTAATTAACACAAGCTGTAAGTAGTGATATACTAATGTTTTAATTTAATAATTTATCATACTGATGCAAAAGAATCCTTTGCATTTGCAATGTAATCCAGGCTGAGCTTTCTCTTCAGCCTTAATAGCAAAAATCTGCTATGCTAAACTGAAGTTTCATATTAAAATCACATATTATGAAATAACTGCTAATTTGGGAAATTTTTAAGATGATATGGATTTAAGATGATATAGCCATACTGAATGAAAATTTACACACGCATACAAACATATTAGATATACATTTACTCACACACACTTATGCAAAAACTAGTACAGAAGGAACAGTATCAAATCAAATAATGTTGCAGAGATTCAGGATGGAAACTGCTGCAAAAAAAAAATGAAAAATATGTTGCCTCTCAGCTATTCCAACCCTTGGTAACCTCCAAAAACTTACAACCATAATCCTGGCAAGTGATTGACTATCCTGTCCTCTGTTGAAATAATAGAACACCAACACTTTGTAGGGCAACCAGGAATTAGCATTAGGCAAGTTGGGTTCATGCTTTCATAAAATCTCTTTCTCACTAGCCTATCTTCCAGGAATGCAGTTGCCATCAAAAATATGGTGCCGCTGAACAGAATTAAGAATGCCAGAATTAAGGCAAAGCTATTTGAGTGGGAAATGGCCAAGAGCCCACAATGCAACTGTGATGCATAGGAACAAATGATAACACATATAGTTCAAGAATGTTTCCTTAGGAAATTTCAAGGCCTCTGGGATGATCTCATTGCAGCCATACCAGAAGCAATTAGATGGTTAGCTTTCTTAGATATCAGATGGTGATTTTATCATGGTTTTACCTTATTTTAATATTTTATCTTGTATATTGAATTGCAGGTGGTGGGGTGGCTCAGCAGTTAAGACACTGGGCTCATCACCTGGAAATCTGGCAGCCCAGATTCAAGAACCAAGCACCACATGATGGGATGAGCTCCCGTTCTCGCCCCAGCCCCTGCCAATCTAGCAGTTTGAAAGCATGCAAATGCAAGTAGATAAATAGATATCACTTCTGTAGTAACAGCGGTCCGTGATGTCATGCTGGCTACACGACCTGGAAATGTCTTGGGAGAGCATGGGCTCAATGGTCCTGAAATGGAGATGAGAACCACCCTGTATAGTCAGCAATGAATAGCAGAGAAAAGTCTGCAGGGACTCCTTTAACTTTACCCTTATATTATACTGCTCACATTTTTATATTATGTTATGTTGTGTTGTGTTATGGCATGGCATAGTATAGTATTATTATACTATCATATATCATATCATACTATATTACATTATACTATATTACATTACATTTCATCTTCAGGAAGTTCTTTGCAATGAGCAGAGTTTGTAATTCTAGCACTGGGAACTGCTGCCAGTAAAATTATTTCTGACAATACAAATCTTTTAATCATAATACATACTGTATTTCCTCTCGATTTACATGCTATTATAGCAAAGGTAATTCCACTGCAGTGAACATGCAAATAGGTGGACATATTTGATAGAGACTAAGCAAAATCCATTTCCTGCTATGTGTGAGTAGAGTCTCTTAGCCAGGGGTGTCAAACTCAATTTCATTGAGGTCCACACCAGGATTGTGTTTGACCTCAGAGGGCTGGGGTGGGCATGGCCACTCAATGTCACTCGTGTTGGCCTGTGTTGGCCTGAGTACTCTGCCAGTGAAAACAGGCTCCCAATCTCTGTTTTAGGCTGGGATGGCCTCCTGCAACCCTCTGCCAGTGAAAATGGAGCTCGGGATGGCCACGCGTGGCCCTTTCTCTGTTTCCAGGGCAGCTACATCAGCCATATCTAAGCACCCTGTGGGCTGAATCTGGCCCCCTGGCTTTGAGTTTGACACCCCTGCTTTTAGCCAAAGAATGGTTATCTAATACTAAGTTTCCTAACATCCAAATCAATCTTCAACAGCAGGACTGGTAAAAGATTCTTATCTGCAGCACATGGACCAGATTTGACATCAGGTGATGGCCATGGATGTTCTGAGAGCCTTCCCACAAGCCCCTCCCTGGGAAAATATAGCTAATAAGTAGGGAAGGTATAAAGGATTTTGCTAGGTAAATCAGAACAGTAAAGATATATTAATGTACTCAGCATGGACTGGACAAACTAGCTAAGTTGATTTCGTATATATGAGACTGAAAAGTCCACAAATCCTGAGAATAAATGTTGATTTATAACAATGATAACTCTGAACTTATTAACAATTTATTAAATTAATGCCTCAATCTACCATCTCATGTTGCTTAATGCTGAGAATTGTTGTACCAATAATTTAATGCAATGGAAGATCAAGTAGTTACTAATTACCTAATTAGAACAACATCTTCTCTGATCTTTGATTAAGCCTTGTAACTGAGAAAATATAAGCAACATTCATAATTTTCATTACCTGTAGAGGAGGACATCTTAATAGTCACAGTTGATAACACATAGTAGATTACCTTTGTTAAAGGTGAAGGAAAACCCTTATTATCAGCTCAGCCAGTCCTGGTTATAGGAACCAGAAGGAAGCAAAGATAACTACTGACCAATATCTACAATAGTACATCGTATTATCAGCTCATTTTATAGTAGCAGATTATTCCTAAAGAAGTAAAGCAAATTACTATTCCTTATACATTAATATTTGTCAACTTTTTAGATAAAGTATAATTTGTTTTGATTATGGAGAAGATAAATTAGCAATTTGCTACTGGTTGGTGAACAGTAAGGCTTTCAAATCTTAACGCAATGAAAGGCACAGATTTTGGCTCTGGTATTTAAGTTAAAGGGAACTGATATGGGTATCAGTATATGAAAGCGTTCTGTTTAATGGATAGACTATTCCAGGGGATATAAAGTTCGTCTCAGCCTTTCAGTCATTTCCTGAAAATAAATCTTGTGGTCCAGTTCATAATTGAATGGGACAGCACTAACCACTTCTTCATTCTAGAAGATTTACTTCACAAAACTATTAAACTGCTCCCAGGACAGCCAGACTGATGCGAACTGAAGGAAGAATAATATTTTTAACACCCTATCCATAAAACAGAACATTTTGTGCACCACTATCTTCTAATAGATCCTGAAAAGGTTTTACCTGGAACTCAGAAGAGCTCCTCTCAGTTAAAGTAGAAACTCTGACCTACACAGATATCTTCAGAGAGTCAAGGAATGTAACGATTGGAAGGGAGCTTGGGGGTAATTCAGCCCAAAATCCTGGTGCAGAATCAATTATTGGACTGTCTCTGACAGAGAGCCATCCAGCTTCTGTTTAAGCTCCTTTAGTAATGAAGAAGCTATCATTTCCCAAGGCAGTTTGTTCCATTGCTTCACAGCTGTTATTGTTAACAATGTTCTCTGATATCCAATAGAAATCTTCTTCCTTGCCATTTACATTCATGGTTTCTTGTCCTGTACTCTGGAACAATTCTGAACAAATCTGGCGCATCTTCTGACAGTCACTTAATGTTTGAAGAGAGTGAGTGTATCTCCTAGTCTTTTTCGGGCTAAAAGTATTCAGAACTTCCAAAGTGTTCCTCAAATCCCTGATGTATGCAAGTTATTTCCAGTCCACAATAAGGTAGAAGTATGCACATCCAATTAAGTAAGAATATTTACAAAATATTGTGTATACTTACTGGGTTGTTTCTTGAATCAAATATCTTCTCATTGCATAAGCTAACACTGCTTTAAATAGGTATTCTTTAGTAGCATCCCAGCTATACTTAAAAAACAAACAAACCAACTGATTGGTATACATGGAGAGCTAGAAAAATACATTTTCCTCCCATAGCCTCTAGGGAAAACAGTACAGCCTTTTGACAATTACAGAAATAGTATTACAGTTATAGAGACATATATTTTATCTATGTATTTTAAAGTGTTACATCTTTTATAAATTTTATCATATTTCTCTTTCTGCAAACTGCTCAGTGGCACTGAAATTATGTGTAATAATAATAGCTTACTTTTACAGACTAAACTGTTGCATTGGCTGTCTAAATAAAGTCTGTATTAAAAGCTGCTGATTTGATCAATGAACATTTAAACCTGATTTGGTTTAATTTAGATAGCTTAGATCGTCCCTCTCTAGAAAGTGGTAAGGACAGGGGAAGAAAGGTAAACTTTTCCCATGCAACCCAGAAAATGCAGAGAATGTGCTCGCTTCACCAGTGTCTCACTGTTGAGTGACCACTGTTGAGTGTTCATTAGCTGAACATCCAGAAACTTGATGCTGCTGATCACTTCCACAGGTGAATCATTAATATGTAGAGGTGCGTGGCTGTGCCTGCCTTTTCTGAAATTGACAATGATCTCTTTAGTCTTTCCTACATTTAAAATGAGGCTGCTTTGTTACATCAGTTCCTCTACTTCCTTGCAGTGAGACCCTCGTTGTCATCTTGAATAAAGCCCATTACTGTTGTATCTGCATACTTCACAATACGGTTGGTGGCAAATCTAGCACAACAGTCATAGATCAGCGGGGTGAACAACAGAGGACACAGCCCTGGGGAGAACCTGTGCTCAAGAAAATGGTGTTAGAAATTTGCACATCAATAAGAAAACCAAGAATCCAGTTGTGCAGGGTATTAAAGCCTAAAAGGCCCAGTTTGTCTACTAGATGCTGAGGCATGATTGTATTAAATGCCAAACGGAAGTTGACAAACAGCATTCGCACCTGAGTGTTCCTTTCCTCTAAGTGCGCCAAGCTCAAATGGAGAACAGAAGAAATAGCATCCTGTGTAGAGCTATTTGGATGGTAAACAAACTGAAGAGAGTCAAATGCTGGAGGGAGGCTGGATATAATAATGTCCTTTATCAGCCTCTCAAAACATTTCATTATGATGGATATAAGTGCAACTTATGCTATTTTATGGGAAAAAAATTCTTAAAATGATAGATGTAAATATTTCACTGACTGCATTTTCTTTTAGAGCTGTTTTGATACTAAGCCGTACTTTGAAAGCATTCTGTGCATCTATTACAAGAATAAAATCAAACACACGATTCACATTGCCTGATGCAGATGATCTGTATTTTTCAGTAGATCATAGCATACATTTGTTATATTTCATGGTTGTTCAGAAGGCACTTCACTTAAAAAAAAATTTAAGGTTCCAAGTAAGTTTGCTTTAAATATAAATGCAAAAGAAGGAAATCTGTAAGCTGGGGATATTCACCATGGGGGGTAATCACAGGCTAGTTACACGGATTTCAGTTCGAAAATGTTCATAGAACATAGAACAATAATTGGGTTGGAAGCGACCTTGGAGATCTTCCAGTCTAAGCCCTGCTCAAGCAGGAAAGCTAATACCATTCTAGACAAATGGCTGTCCAGTCTCTCCTTGAAAATCTCCAGTAATGGAGCACCCACAAGTTCTAGAGGGAAGCCATTCTACTAATTAATTAACTATCAGGAAATTTCTCCTTATTTCTAGGTTAGATTACACTTTAATGATGTTCTACTGTCAATTCTTGTTCTGTCCTCAAGTGCTTTGGAGAAGGGGTCACCAACCTTGGCAACTTTTAAGACTTGTGGACTTCAACTTCCAGAATTCCTCAGCTAGCAAAGCTGACTGAGGAACTCTGGGAGTTGAAGTCCATAAGTTGCCAAGGTTGGAGACCCCTGCTTTGGAGAATAGGTAAACCCTTCTTCTCTGTAATAGCCCCTTAAAAAGCAGAAGACTGGTATCATATCAGCCGTAGTCCTTTTCTTCGTTACACTGAGTAAACATACAAGTTCCCTCATATACCCTAATTGATCATATGGTTTAACTTCCAGACCCCCTTTTTTGCACTCTTTCTAGGATCTATACTCCAGACTAAATATAATATGCACAAAATTCTTTTAGCCTTTATTGAACAATTAGCATCAAAGAGGCCATAAAGGGATACTACAACAGGATTTTAATAGGCTTTTTATCCTTAAGAAAATTAATAGTTGTTCTAAAGAACTAATCAAATTATTTTTATAGCCAAAATTTGTGTGTTACTGAAAGACGTTACATCTGCAATCTTAATATTCTAAATGTTACATTTTTTATGCAAATTGTACATGAAGGATGAAGCATAGAAGGACATCTTACTTGGTTGGCAAAGCTCAGGATAAGCAATGGTGGTTGCTCAGGCAGATGCAAGTAACAGTAACAGTTTTCCTAACCGTCTTTGTGCTAGCATCCTTCAGTTGGGACTTCAGGCAAAAAAAGAAAAAACAGCCCCGTAATACTGTCTTAAGCTTTCTGTGACTCAGGATTAAGCAATTGCAGCAGAAATAGGAAGCAATCAAATTTAAGGCTTAATAATTAACCCCCACCACTTATTTTAGAAAAAAAAACAATTATAGAAAGCAATGTCCTCTTCTGAGTGCATCTTTTGTCTGTTAAAAGATATATTTAATTTTATTTATCATTTCATTGTTTGTATGTATATTGAGAGCTTATACATTGGAGACAAATTCCTTGTGTGTAACCCAATAAAGAATATTCTATTCAATTTCTTAGAACACTTTGCATATTTTTTACCAATTGAACATTTTGTCTTTTAGTGGTAAAATAGTATTCCTCTATTTTTTTCTCATAAACACACCCATGTGCACAATCTATTTCTCTGTTAACCCTTAACCACAAACCTACTACGTTGGCTACACTATTACAGACATGAGGTCATAATGGCCACTCTAGCTGCTGGCTGTAGTCCAGATAATTGTACTACAATATTGTGTCTAGTGGTTCTGGATCTATTGCTTCCAAAAGGTGCAGAAGACCATTTGAATTTGTTCTTGCCATATAAATTATTGCAAAATGTAGATTGTACCTGGTCATCAATTTCATCAGGAGCTTCATCATCGCTGATGTCAGAATTGGCAGCGGCTGTGGGTTCCTTGTTGTCCATACAAAATTTTCATTGCAATCCTATTCCACTTCACTCAGATCACTCTCTGCTTCTTCATATCATGTTAGAACAGTTTCTTTGAAGATTGGATCACAAAATTGCACTCTTTTTAGTGGAAAATGTGGCCCCGACATTATTAAAAAAAATGTTTTAACAAAGATCAGTGGTCAAAATAACCGCAACTCAAATTCAAATGCCACTACAGAAAACACCAAATAACTTAGGCAAGCACGATGCTGCATACACTCTTATTGGTGGGAAAACAAAAGCTATTCGCAACTGGAATGGTCCATTTCTAAAAATAGGGGTGTTCTGAACATTTTTGAAAACTGTTGCAGTCATTATGACCATTGGTCTATGGTTATGTGTTAATTAAAATCCAGCTTTTCTGTTTTAATGAAATGATGGTCTATAACATGCAGGGACATATGTTATGAATGATGATGACTTATTTATCAAATGAAACAAATACCTTTGCAGAGTACATTGAAGAGCAAAAAAGTAAAACACTTTTGTAGAAAATTGGATTCTTCCCTCTTCTGTTATGTTATCTCCTTACCTTCCAATATTCACCCTAACTTTAGAAATATTGTTTACTTAGAAAGAATTTCAGTTGTTGCCACTATTCAGCACTGGGATATTATATCTGTTGAAAAACCATAATGATGTATTAGAAAACATTTAATTTATGTCACAAAGTCAGTGGTATACAACAGGGTTGCACAATCTTTGATGCAGCTGGGAAACATTACATTTGAGAAGCATATCAAAAACCAAACAGAAGTGAATGGCAATAGTACAAAAAGAACCCCCTACTCTTCATTTAATATGAATAAAATCAAATAACATTATTATATATAGCTAATAAAATCATTGTTTACATATTTAATAACTTCCCCTTTCTGTCAAAGACTGTAACATTGTAATTTGGTTTGTAAATTAAAACAAGTCTGTAATAGCAAGTGAGGAATCACATGCAGGGGGTGGGATTCTACCGGTTTGGACCAGTTCGGGTGAACCTGATGTTCAGTATTTCAACCGACTGGCTGGCCCCACCCACACTGCCCCTCCCCTCCCAGGAGTCTCCATGTGGCCCATTTTCAATGCAGGTAAGTGCAAGGGACCATGAGGAGCTCTGGGAGGGGGGAAAAATAGACCTTCCAGAAGTCTGGAAATGGGCCTGTTTCCGGCTTCCAGTGGGCCTCCAGAGCCTGGGGGAGGCTGTTTTTGCCCTCCCAGAGGCCCGGAGGAGGCCTCTGGACCCTTGGGAAGGTGAAAAACGGCCCTCCAGGAAGTTCCGGTAGGCCATGCCCACCATGGCCCTGCCCACCCAGCAACCGGGTAGCGAACCGGTTGCTGTCATTTTTGAATCCCACCCCAATCACATGTATAAAATAAAAGTTTTATAAATTGAGAACAAGGCACTCAATTATTAATAGTGTTTTTTATATGTGGTGAGCTGCACCATATATTGAAGTAGTATTTGCAAAATATAAACTATGTCCTGACTTTTGGCAGTGTCAAGGCACTGGGTTTTTTTTCTAAATTTTTAGCCATCAGACAAAGTAAACATATTTGTAGCTCATACTAATCTTAGAATAGATGTCCCCTAGTTCGGAGGGTTTTTTTCCTTACAATTGAAGGAAAACTTTAGTCTGAAAATCTGCTAAACTGAAAAGTTTTTAAAAAAATATCAATTAGTGTTTGTTTTGCTACTAATAGATTACAATCATTTTTCATTTGACTGGTTGTCTTTGATCCAGGGGTGGGATTCTACCAGTTCGCATCTATTTGCTAGAATCGGTTGTTAATATTCTAAGCAGTTCGGGGAACTGGTTGTTAGAAGAAATTACTGGCCTAATCCTGTAAGGAAGGCAGGAAGGAAACATTCTGGTGTTGCTTACAGAAACTGCCTCTCCGTTAACCCTTATTATGTTTTTGGTAGGACTAGACTTCCTGTCTAAGGAATGTCTCTGGAGTTTTTTCCCCCTTCTTTGCTGGTAATTTGCTTGTGTGGAGTGACCATTCAAAGTTACAATGGCACTGAAAAAAGTGACTTATGACCCTTTTTCACGCTTATAACTGTTGCAGCATCCCCACAGTCATGAGAGGCCAGGCAAGGAGATGCATGCCTCGATGTGAGTGATATTGAGTTGGCCACATCCAGCCAATAACATGACCACTAAGCCACGTCCACCCAGTCACATGACCATCAAGCCACGCCCACCACCTAAGCCATGCCCACAGAACCGGTTGTTAAAAAATTTGAATCCTACCCCTGCTTTGATCTAGATAGCAATGGTTGCTAAATGATTTATAACTGTTTTATAATAATATCTAAGTCCATTATGAAGTGAAATATACTACCAGACTTTAATATTTTAAAATACACAATGATGGGTTTTCTTACTATATGAAAGCATATAAATTTTGTTTTGCAGGTAAGGTATTGTGTAAATCCATTACTGATTTAAAACTATGGCTTATTTGTTAGCGTATCATGTGAAACTAAGCAATTGCAGTTTTTATTCAATAAATCATACTAAAACCATGACTGGATATAATGTATGAATCTACTCTTAGGATAAATATGGATATTGAATCAAAAGTCTTTCTACATCCCTTCATAAGGCTTTAAAGTTTGAAGACCCAGGACTGTAAAAAATGTATTTCATACAAGTTAATCAACAGCTACGGTAAACTAGCTATTGTCTTTGACAAATTATCTGTTTCAAAATGTGAGGAAGTTAATCACCCCAGTTTTGCACTAAAATTAACTTTCCTTGGAGAAAAAGTATAAATGAATTACCATCACTGTTCACTCGCAGAAATGAAACCAAAGATTTTTGGAAACCTTGCCTGTCTGTCATTAAAATGACTAGAAAGTTATAGATAATGTCAAACATAAAATAAAGAAAATTATAACTCAGTGAACACTAGTATCTGAAATTGAATATAAACTTTGTATCCAATAGACAACATTGTAGCAAGTATACCTTGTTACCTACTAATTCTGTAATTAATGCACTACTAAGAACTTCAAGCTTATTTATATATACACACTTTTACAGTTCTCATTGCTGTTTTGTTTACAAAATATCTGTGACCTCTGATGAGGACAGTGTTGAAATAATGAAAAAGGAAAAAAAAAAGACTTTCAATGAAGAATCATGGTGAATCAGATGTCCCTGAAGGAGTGGGAGAACATTGTGGCAGAGATCACTGGACATACAATGAATTCTAGCCAGTAAAATCTCTCTAGAAAAAAGAGAAATTATGAGGTCACCCATTTGTATTGTGAAGGTTGCACATTAGAGGGAACCAGAAGGAACTAAAGATTACAGTTAAAGGAGAAGAACACTTAAATTTCATTTACTAATACAGAGTGGAACCAAATGCTTTAATCATGGGATGTATTGAAACATATCCAGTGGTGGGATTCAAATAATTTAACAACCAGTTCTCTACCCTAAAGACCGGCTGGGTGGGCATAGCCAGGGGGCATGACAGCACTCAGCCTCCTGCAGCACTCTGCCAATGAAAACGGGGCACAGGGGTTAATTACAAAATGTGGCCTTTGCTTTGTGACATCTACATCCAGTGAGCAAGGGGTGTGAACTGCACAGAAAATGCACTTTCGTTTGGTTATGAAGAAATATCCCCAAAGTCAGATGTACACTAAATATAGGCTTTAAGCTACACGCTTCCCCAGCAAACAGCAAATTTTGAAGCTCCAGGTAAAGAGGATTCATTTTAGGATGAGTAGTCACAGTTTGCATGTTGGAGGTTCCTAAAGGAATGCTGGGAAACTCTGTATTTTAAAAAAAAATATTGGAGGGAGGCGTGCAGAATAGCCCATCTCTGCTTGAGGCTGTAGAGATCCGGCACCAATCAAAACACTGTTTGTGAAGCAACTGATCAACACTGACAGGATAAGCCACTAGTATAAGAAAATAAGAGCAAACTCCACTCCCTTCTAGCAATGATGATGTTACCTAGTTTGGTAATGAAACACCTGCAAGAAAACCATCACAGTTCAACCCTGAACTACAAATATTCTCTTCTATTGATAAATTCTTTTTGGTTAGAGGGACTCAGAGCCTGCTTTGTATGAGATGGCTCCCAGTGGGTTTCATTCTAAATTTTGATATGATTTCTGTAAATAAGGAATGTAGAATGTAGAATTATAGAGTATTTGATCCTTCGTACATCAAAAAATACAAAGGTAAAGGATAAACAAATTAAAAAAAAGATTTGAAAAAAGAAAAGGCCCAGGAAAGAAAAAG